CGCGATAGACTAGATTAAGAGCGCGAACTGTCGAGTTTCGAGTCATCGAAATGCAAAATTTACGCAAGCCCCGGACAGTGGAGCGGGACACGAGTTAGAAATCTCTCTTCGTAGTACCCAGTGGTAAAAGCATGTTCTTTAGCTTTTAACAGCTAAAACCCCGCCAGTCCGCACAACATGGATATGTTTTATCGGCAACGGCGGGGGTGGTTCCGCACTTTTGCCAACTCAAAAATCGACGCGGTTCTTGTCTCGACGTGCGGCTGGTTTTTAACTTGCGCTCTCGCACATCACTACTCGCGCCTATTCTCGCCTCTATCAAATTCCCTGCTTCAATCTCTTTTCTCTCGATTTTTACACTTCGTCGCTCTACCAAAATGGAGTAGAATTACATAAATAAATCTCTTCGGTAATGAAGGCTACGGTCCGGCTGGACCGCTTTTTTACGTATATCATTGTACATCGAGGATGAGGGGTACGGATGAAAAGAATGAAAAGTTTTTGATAATTTGGACGTTCTCTTTGACATTATTATATATGTTAAATTATAGGCAATGAATTAAATGTCATATTTATATATATTTATATCAAAGAGAAAGTCTTTCGTCTGATTACGTGAAAATAGCGGATTAATTAAAGACGATTAAACGCTATTCGCATATGATATAAGATTATCGAAAGAAATGAAGTCAAAGCGTTAATTTGTTTCAATGATGCCTCGATGCATTATATCCTTACTTTTCTTATTAGCATTAATTTTATCATTAAGTTTTTCATCATTTTTATTTATTTTTTTTTTTCTCATTTTATATATTTTTTTTATTTTGGTTTTTTTTTGTTGAAGCCGTGGATCGCGTAAACAATTACTGTGTCTTAAAAATCTCATATCTTCTATAATCGAATATCTTCTTCTATTATTTATTCGTATAATAATTAATAATAATTAATAATAATTAATAATAATAATAATGTATTATCTCAATTACGTATATCGTTACTGTACTCTATCGCTCACTCTCGCGCGCGCACACACGCGCTTTCTCTCTCTCTCTCTCTCTCTCTCTCTCTCTCTCTCTCTCTGCTTTCGTCGTACTATATTAATAATAAAAACCTAAGTGTCCAACTAATTTTACAACACAGCACAATATTCGTCGCGGCGCTCGAAATCAGCAACCGGGATTCCTAATCTTTTCTATTTATATGCATTTCCACGCTGTCGACCCCCGCTCTACCTAACCTCCTTCTCCC